GAAAATTTAGACCATTATTTTGAAATCATTTATACAGGATAATATACAAACAAAAATCCGAAAAAACCGAGCATGGCATCACTGAAAAAGTAGACGTTTTCAAACATAACAAGATTCAATTTTTCATAATAGACAACTACAGTAGTAGTCAGAGAAATATAGGATATGACCTTAAAATTTTTTCAATGAAACGTTTTATAGTTTTATTTTTAGTGTTGCGGTGGCAAAGTGACATACTAAAAGTTGTTCAAAAATTTTCCACGGGAAACCCCCTAAAACGACTATGAAAAATGGCAACTTTTTCTAAAATTTACAAATAAAAAACCCCATGCAATTTTATGAAAATATTTTGAGAAATGGAATTGGTACACTGCTGATATTTATTCGTTATTTAGTACCTAATTTCGATAGATAACCCTTTTTTGACCGCCATCTTGGATCGCCATATTTGATATAAATAAAATATTTTAAAATTAATGATAGTTTTGTGACACACCATTTTAAACTAGATTTTCAAGATGATTTCAATTTTGGAATGCGTTTTTAAAAATCATTTTTTGCTTTCAAGATAATTTAAAACGAAAACTTTACCCCATACATTTCTTATGAACGTTTCGTACCTTTAAATAAAAAAAAAATGATATTTCTTACATCTCCAGTTATTATTACCACTTGCAGTCCGTTCTAGCCTTAAATTATTCATTGATGTAAGGGCTGTCATTTGATTATTTTGGCTATTGATAACTAAAATATGAAAGTTTTGAGACGAACTACAAACCCGAACACAATTTTAAATTGACTTTTTAGGAAATCAGTTTTTATTAAAAGATTTATATTTTGGGTTGCCAATACGTCACCAAGTTATTTATGGTCTGAATGTATTGATTAAATGTTTGGCTTAATTTTTATTGATCACTAAATAAAATCTGACAAATTTAAATTGACTCATGAATCTTCATTTCAAATTATTTTATTTTATTTTGAAAACTGTCTTTAATTAAATGCATATATACTCAATCTTGAATAACTCCAAAAACGCTTTATAGTCTTAAATAATTCGGCAAAGTATTGACTCTTATTTTAGCTATGGATTACGTATTTATTTATTTAGAATTGAGGATAAACGTCTTTAACTTAAGACAATTCTTTAAATAAAAAATATTTAATCCATACCTATAAAAGAGGAAGTATGTATGTATGTGTCCTATAGACTCCTAAACCGCTAGACAGATTGTAGTGAAACTTCCAGGTATTATTCAAGGATAGTGTGTGTGAAGTTTGGTGCAGATCCGTCATAAGGGCTCCGCCCCAGAGGGTTTTAAGGGGTCGATTGTCATACTTTTGGAACTACAATTCATACAATAAATATATTTTAAAAGCAGTTTGTTTACTTTCACCAACTGCTTTGTATGCTTGAATAATCACAACATTCTGTTTTACTCATGATTTGAAATAGTGCCTCACTTTTTTCACAGAATGCAGCACAAAAAACTATTTTACTTTTTGAAGTCCATATATTTAAACCATTGACTAAAACCTAAACACATCATACCAGTGCACTGAACAACTTTTGAATTCTCCAATGTTAAATATGTAAACATACAAAACCTTTATCAAAGTATTATAAACATTAAAAGGGATTGCAATGCCTAAATAACTTTATCCTTTGTTCTATACCCACACAATCTAACATAAATTATTAAGTGAAAAATAATCGTGTAAGCTATGTCAGGTATTCAAATGCCTCCCAATTTGTCATTAACCCACCACATTACTGTCATTAAAAGAAGAGCTCAAATAATACTAATGCGAAACTTAAATCCACGGATGCTGTGCAACGGAACCAGACTGACGATTAAAAACATTACACCAAATCTGGTTCAAACAACAATCATCAGTAGTAAGTTTAAACGAGAAATAGTCTTAATCCCTAGAATACCGATGATTTCATCGGAATTACCCTTTGAATTGAAGCGACTATAATTTCCTTTCGTCTTTCTTTCGCAGTCACCATTATAAGACACAAGGGCAATCGCTGACTTTCGCTGGTTTAAGCTTAGAAAATGTATGCTTTACACACGGACAGCTGTATGTTGCGTGCTCACGAGGTAGTAGGTACGCCTAAAAAACTTATGTACCTATCTATAAACCAAATGAAAAAAAAAACAAAAAACATAGTTTATCCACTGGCAATTAAAATAATACAATTCTATTTTTGTTTTTGGTATACGTTTTTATTATTCATCGTAAAGAAGAAAAAATCAAATTTCAAATAATAGTTATTAGCGCAGCAACGCGCGCTGGATAACTGCTAGTTTTAAATAAAAGTCCATGTCTCATTTTAAATTTGTCAGATTTTATTAGCGAATTTCCCTATAGGGAAGTAGCTATTACCGTAGGTCTCATGGTAAGACCTAAGCCCGGGACCGATTTACTTTTTCATTTTGATGTCCCCAGAGGCCAAAAACACCATTCGTTCAAATTTTTATATATCTATATATATATATATATATATATATATATATATATGTGTCCATCCGCACGATAACTTGAGTAATTTTTGTCCGATTTTGATAAAATTTGGTTTGAAGGTGTAAGGCGGGATAAACTTGAATGAGTTCGCGAACCAGCATGATCGGACTATGGGAACGGGGGTTTATGGGGGGTTTTATGGGGTAAAAATAGGTTTTTCCCATTTTTGACCCTAAAAACATGAAATTTCACAATTTCTTTTTCAACCATTTTGTAGAGCTTAAAAAAACAAATAATTTAGTATATTGAAGCGTTATTATGCGCCTATTTGTTACGGAGAAAATTCAAAAAAATTGTAATTTTGAAATTTCTAATGTTATTCTTATGGAGAATAAGTCAACTGTTGTAGTTTGCTTGTTTATGAACATATTTTGATCGATTTTGGGAAATACTTTTATTTCTTACTAAACTATTATCAATTTATAAAAAAAAACTTTTTTACCCTCCCTGTTGCAGCAAACCTAAGTACTCGTTAAACTTATTCTATTTAAATAGGAAATAAATGTGCTATTTTTATGGAGGCATTTTAATGTAAATCTAATCAGGTTAATGGAAATTCGCTTAGTCTGCAGGTTTGCTGCGGCGGGGGTATTTAGTAATTAATAAAATGAATGCCAATCATTTACTGGGTAATTTAAGACCAGAAAGAACTTGGTAACGTTTTATATGAAGATAATATGTGAAGATTTATATCTCGTGTTGTTAATACAACCCGAGATATAAATATTTTAATAACGTCTTATTTCTAAAAAGGTCAATTTCATATTGTGTTGTGGTTTGTAGCTCGTCTCAAAATTTTCTGATTTTAATGATCAATAACCCAAATAATTAAATGACAGCCCTTACATCACTGAATAGTTTAAGGCTAGAACGGACTGAAAGCGTTAATAATAACTGGAGATGTAAGAAATATCATAAAAAAACTTCAAAGTACGAAACGTTCATAAGAAACGTAAGAGGTCGTTTGAAAACTAAAAAGGATACCTAAAAAAGTATTCTAGAATTGAATTCATCGTAAAAATCTAGTTTAAGTTTATGTGTCACAAAACTATAATTACTTTTAAAATATTTTATTTATATCCAATATGCCATTCCAAGATGGCGGTCAAAAAAGGATTATCTATCGAAATTAGGAACTAGAAAATGAATAAGTATCAGCAGTAGTACGAAGTCAATTTCTCGAAAAATGTTCATAAAAATGCACGTGGTTTTTTTTATTTGTCAATTTTAAGAAAAGCCGCCATTTTTAATAGTCGTTTTAAGGGTTTTCGGGCGGACTCTTTTTTTAATAACTTTTAGTATGTCACTCCCAACAAACCCAACACTAAAAATAAAACAATAAAACGTTACATTGAAAATAAATTTAAAGTAATTTCATATTTCTCTGACTACTACTGTAATTGTATATTATGAAAAATTGAATTTTGTTATGTTTGAAAACGTCTACTTTTTCAGTGTTTCCATGCTCGGATTTTGTCGGATTGCTGTTAGTATATTATCCTGTATAAATGATTTCAAAATATGGCTTAAATTTTCTTAAAGTAAATTTTCTTACCTCAAAGTGTATTTCACCCGGATAAGGTAGCGGTGCAGCGCGCGTCATGGCTAACGTTCCAAGTTGAAGACTAATAACAAATATATCCCATAATATATCCCATCTTCAAAGCAAGATACAAACTGATATGATTATTATTATTGTTCGAAATTTAATGCAGATTTTTTTAATAGCCACAAAATATGTATGTTTATATCACCCGAGTTTGTATTTGAAAAAAATAAGGTTTTACTAAAAAAATCTTTGAAATTTGATATTTTTTTAATTTGAAGCTGTCTCATTTAAAAAAAAAAATGAAATAATATAAAAGTTGTTGTTATCTTGAAGTAGACTTAATGAGGAAGCTGTTTGAGTTGTCAAACTATATCCATTTTACTAAAAGCTTACATAAATCCAATATGGCGGAAGCTTTTATTCCAATATGGCGGCTTTCCGCCACTTCGATTTTTCTCGATTTTTAGTATGATGTTCTGGACCCCTTTGTTGACAAAATCCCATATATTTCATTTCTATTGCTTTAAGTTTGATGTTAGGCTTATTTTGACTCTAGATTGACTAGGCTATTAGGCAGTTAGTAGAAGAACGTCCAATTCAAGGAACGCCCACAAGTTAAATTCAGACTTTAATCTCAGAATTCTAACTTTTTTCACAGAGAGGAACACCCACAAGTTAAATTCTGACTTTAATCTCAGGATTCTAACTTTTTTTCACAGAGAGGAACGCCCGTCGCCCACTTGTTAAATTCTGACTTTAATCTCAGAATTCTGACTTTTTTCTCAGAGAGGAAGCCGACTTCCCGCGCTCTGACTTTAATCTCAGAATTTCTAAGTTTTTTCTCAGAGATGAAGACAAATATTTTTTTATAGTTGGTGGCCCTTCAGCGCCGTCGTACGGTAGGGATGGTTGATGTTGAATTGAAACTGTAACTGTATGCTTTTTTTGTTATTTGTTGTTTGTAGGCTATCATTGTATCAGTATTGAGTTTTATAAAAATTAATTATTATTACAGAGTTTTTAAAACTTTGAGGACTAGGCCTATTTAGACCTGAATTTTACTCGATAAATTGTAACATAGGCAATTGGCAATAATTAAATTTTATGTTTAAACTGGTTGTTGGAGAAATGTTAGGCATAGGCCTAGGCTAGTTTTGGACTAATTTATTGCCCTGTGACCTAGCTGATGTTAAATTCGTTTTAGTCCGTACCAAAAATGGGCCCTTCAACATATTTGGTGACAAATCGATGTTTCAAAATTCTTAAGCCTACACGATGTATTTGTCAGCATTTCAGATATCATAATGGACTTGGTTTTAATAGGCCTAATACATTTTCTGAAGAGTATAAAACTTTGTACACTCATACCACTGTGCTACAAAAAGTTGTATTGTCTATTGGATCATCTGTAGTGTCACTTTTAGATCCAACCAGAGGAGGTACTTAAGACTCATTCACTGGCATTTCAGCTGACATAAGTTAATAGGCCTAGGCCTAGTTTTTTTCTAGTGGGGCCTTGCCTAGCCTAGCCTACGTAGCCCAACTGCTTGATAGGTCCACCTAAGTTAGTGGTAGGGACCAAGGCCTAAGTTAACTTAGAAGGCTAAGTTACCACACTAACCATTCATTATCTTCCTCTTAGCCTAGGATTTAAGTTAGACCTTCATGTTTAGAAGTAAGTTACTTAGTCTAAATTCACAAAATAGGCCTAACTTAGGCCTACCCCCAATTTTACCCCCCCCCCCCCCCTCCAGGGAGACCCCCTTCTCATAGATCAAGATCAGTGTTTGGCGAACTAAGCCAGTTAGAATCCTAGGTAAACTTAGGCCTAGGAGAACCCTTTTGTACCAAATTGCATTCATTTTTAGTCGTGTTAGCCTATTGTGCTAACGGACATATAAGTTAAATTAGGCCTAGGCTATGAATTTGAATGCATGGTGTTATTGGGCCTCTTGGGACATCAAAACAAAAAATATTGTTTTAAGTTACCTTTTTATTGTATTTACTCATGAATAACTAAAAATTTTAGTTTCAAATGGTTTGTTTTGATTTTTATTTCCGTTGACCTAAAATTAAGATTTCTCGAAGAACTTTGTTTCTTTTGTCCTACAAAAACGGCAGACTCAGGTATTACATTAGCCTATAAGTTACTTATTCCTCACCTTTAATGTGCACTTCTTTAGATAACAACTGATTTTTCAGAAAATCTAAAGTGATTGCATTTAGGATTTTGATGAAATTTAATATCAACGTTAAGAGTTAGCCTAAGTTTAATGCTAGATATTTTGAGGGCATAAGTTATAGAAGACAAAAGTTTCACTAAAAAGTTTGAGACAAACCAGTTATTTTTCAAATTTCAGATATGATCTCTATCCTAGGAGAGGTGTCAGGCGAGAGAGCTTTGAGGCACATGCACAAAACACTTTTAGATAGTGAAGAAGGAAGTATGATTCTAAGGTAAGCTATAGCTTAATATAGGCCTATCAATCCCACTTTAATTATAAGACTAGGCCTATATAGTAGGTAGGCCTAAGTAGGCTACTAGAGCCTACCTTCTACATGTTCCTACCTACATGTTCTAAATATAAGTTTATCTTGAGTTGTTCTTAGATTTAATGAGGTAGAGGTCTGTACAGGTAGACCTAAATTTGAATACTGTCCACGACACTAAAACTTCAGACAGACTTCCACAGTAAATAATGATGTATCTTATTTTTGTGATCATTGGGTAAGCCACTACGGACAATTATTTGCAAAACCATAACATACCGGTAACTAAAGAAATAGAACTCAATAAAAAGATAAAGTAAACAAAAATTAGTAATCTTCAAGCATCCAGTTGTGTCACATGTGTTGGTTTGGATTGTAATGCATTTATTTCTTATGCTCTATGATATTTATGCTTGAGGCATTATTGAGTTATATGAAATTAATGGTTTACACAAAAAAAAACCAGGGATGGTTACAATTTTATTACAACTGTCCATTTTAGCGAATTTCCCACATAGGGTGTTGAGGGCGGTAAATGGGTGAAAATGAAAGTGTTAAATAGCTCGAAGGACCAGAACTAATTACTAGTTCAAGAGAAAATAATAAATTAGAGAAATTGGCGAATCTGCAATTTGAAGGGCACTTGAGGTCCCGAGGTGAAATCAGGGCCGGATTTCCCAATAGGCCCGGTAGGCCCGGGCCTATGGGTGCGAGCACCCAGAGGGCGCAAGGCGGAGATAATTTTTTTTTTATCTAAAAATAAAATTAAATAGTCATAGTTGATTAAAAAAACTTTGGCTAATAAAGCATTCTGATTCTGAAGTTCATAGAAAGAAATAATTGTTAGAAGATTTCAACTATTTTTCTGAATTACGCATCAATTTCATTACAACATTGGGTACGGGAGGCTGTAGGGATGTTGACGAGCGCCTGAGCTGTACGCATCGTATTGCCACTGCACTGCCACTATGTTGGTTCGGTGCTACTGATTGGAGTAATTAGGGGCGCATGCGTGCTACGTGCTAGACACTGTTATCACCAAACACACAAAACAAATAACTCACAAAACAAAAGTTATTGACTAATCTTTTGATTAGTTTACAACAATCTGCAGGATCAAGTTAAAATATATACAGTAGGTAATACGTTGTGTTGAATATAAAATACCCCCGCCGCAGCAAACCTGCCGACTAAGCGAATTTCCATTTGTCTGAATTGATTTTCAGTTAGGCCTAAATATATTTTAATAACATTAGGTTTAACGAGTACCTAGGTTTGCTGCTACAAGGAAACTAATAAAGTGTGTTTTTGAGTTAAATATTAATAGCTTAGTACAAAATAAATAAATTTGCCAAGTTTGATCAAAATATATCCATAAACAAGCAAACTACAACATTTGACAATATTCTCCATAAGAATAACATGGGAATTTTAAATTTACAATTTTTTAAATTTTCTCCGTTACTAATAATCGAACAAAAATACTTCTTTATACTAAATTATTTGTTTTTTAAGCTCTTTAAAAAGGTCTAAAGAGAAATCGGGAAATTTTGTGTTTTGAGGGTCAAAAGTGAGAAAAACCAATTTTTACCCCATAACACCCCCCGTAAAGCCCTGTTCCCATGGTCCGATCGTGCTGGTTCGCGAACTCATTCAAGTTTATCCCGCTTTACACCTTTAAACCAAATTTCATCAAAATCGGACAAAAATTACTCAAGTTATCGTGTTCACGGACGTATCTATATGTATAAAATTCAAAGCCCTCACTGACTCACTGACTGACTCACTCACTCACTCATCACTAATTCTCCCACTTCCCACTTATCTAGGAGGCTGAAATTTGGTACACTGATTCTTTAGGCATTAAATAGGAAAACTAAGTGGTTTTTATTCTGATCGGACTCTCGGGCTCCGCCCCAGTGGCTCTGCAGTTTTCCATGTTAACCTAATGAGTACTCATATTTAAATGGAATTAATGAATCTTAACAGCTGTTTCAATTAAACAAGTTGGTTCTGTTCTATGATGTTCAATCAAACCTTGTGTGCAGGACGTGATTGAGCCATGCGAACGAGCTCATATATGAAGTTAAACGGGGCAAAGCCCGCGGGTACCAGCTAGTATATATATTAGGGTGGGTCGAAAAAAATCAATATTTTTTTTTCGATTTGTAATACTTTGTAAAAGTTGCTAAATTGTAAGATTAAGACAGGGTATAAATATGAAAAATATTGGTTGTTATCTTCCGGTCGCGCATGTGCCCTAAAGTTTAATGAAAAAAAGAAAAAAACACAATTTTTTGGAAATTTTTTATAATTTTTAAAATTTCAATTTTTAATATTTAATAGTTGAAAATGTTATATACAAGACATTAAGTGAGTGATATTCAAATAACAGTATCGTATGTTAACATCTTCCGGTCGCGCATCAACTGCAAATATTGCTAAAATTGAAGAAAAACGTCATTTTGTACTAGTCGTATTAAAAATCAATTTATAGATATTAACATGTAATACCTAAAATATGTTAACACACATTCGTATAGTAACTCAACAGAAACAACGTGAAAATCCTTATTGATTATTTGGTCGCACGTAGCAATATGATTTTGCTTGAGCGAGTGACAGTTGGGTCAGTGACCTTCGCAGCGTCACGTGATTCCCCCTTCTCCACTGCTGGCAGACATTCCGCCATTCCCGCGCTGCATTGTGGTGCCAGTGAGTCAGTCTGCAGTCATTTCTTGCGTGAAGTGGACGTTTAAGCATATTCAGTAACTATTTTTTGCATTTGCAATGTGTTTTGTAATGTGTCAAATTGTTTGGTGACTTTGTGGATCTTACTGTGTGTGTAATGAACAATGGCAGCATCTAAGAAAATCATCACTAGACAGGTATTTGACTGCCCAATTTTTGGTACACCAAAAGATTTACCTTTAAACAAGCTACCTACTGGAGAAGACGTACTCAGATGTTTGTCACACGAGAGATACAATCTAGCACTTAAAACTAATAATAAGAGTGTGAGTTTATCACAAGTAGCTAACACAGTAGCTAATAAAGTGATTTGTTTGTATAAGAAGGCATCTATTCCAACAGTTAGTGATAAAAGAATAGTGCAACTTCTAAATGCACTGCATGGTAAATACTATGGCTTACGAAAATCACTTACACGGGACAAAAATAAAGAATCTTTTATTAGAAAACTTGACGAGTTCAAGCACAAATGCTCGTTACTGTTTGATGTTGCCGCTTGCAAATGTCCAATTATTCTTAACTGTAAGTGCGAGAAGACACCTGCCCTATGTCAGTGCAATTGCACTATCACTTGTATTTGCGATAAATCAAATAAGATTCCATCTATTGAGCTAAAGTTCATTTACTCGCTTCGAGTTCACGGAATAGGAAAAATCAGAGGAGTAGACTTATGCGAAACAAAGAAACGCACAAAATCGCTAGAAAGAAAGTCTCGTGTCAGCACTTCAAACCAAATCCCCGAGATTCAAGTATCTGTAACTGAAGCACAGTCTAGTTATGATAATGTATCACTGTGCTCACCAGCCAAAACTGATGATAGCAGTGACAGCGACCCGGAATTTTTACCTGAAATCCCGAAAAATAAATCCCCTGGTTGGCAAATGACGATTAACCTTAAGTCTACTGCATTGGTTAGCGATCGCTATGGTATTTCGGATCGTGCTACAGCTGCCATAGCCTCCAGTGTTTTGCATGACATTGGCATAGTCACTAGTTGTGACAATTCGCAAGTAATCGATAAGTGTAAAGTAAGGCGAGAAAAACGTAATATAAGGGCCGAACTGTCTAGTTCTATAACAGAAACCAAACTACATGGGTTATATTTTGATGGCCGCAAAGATGACATGATCGTAATTGAAATGGTACATTCAAAACGATTTCGAAGAGTTATAAAGGAGGAACATTATTCTCTTATTCAAGAACCAGATAGTGCGTTTCTTGGACATGTGACCCCTGATTCTGGAAGTTCAGAAGACATTTCGACCTCTATTCTTACATATTTGACCAGCAAAAATATTTCTTTGGAAGAACTGGTCGTAGTTGGATGTGATGGCACTGCTGTCAATACTGGATTGAGAAACGGTATAATTCGCCGTATTGAATTGCACTTAGGTAAACCTTTGCAATGGGCTGTTTGTCTTCTGCATTTTAACGAACTGCCGTTTCGCCATTTGTTTCAGTACTTGGATGGCAAGTCAACAGGCCCGAATACGTTAAAAGGACCGATTGGTGAAAAACTTAGTAAATGCGAAACACTGCCAGTAGTTCACTTCGACAGTATTCATTGCGAAATCCCTGAGATTGACACTAAACTACTCAGTAAGGATCAAAAGTATTTGCTGGAAATATCAAATGCAATTAAATCTGGCAAATGTGAGGAAGACTTAGCGATCCGGGATCCAGGACCTCTGTCTCACTCTAGATGGCTAACAACTGCCAACCGTGCACTGAGACTCTACATAAGTCAAGAAACACCATCTATTGAGTTCCAGGAAATCGTAATCTTCATCTTAAGGTCGTACATGCCAATGTGGTTTAGAATTAAGAAAACAATACATTTCACTGATGGACCTCTGCTTGTATATCATTCTATTACATCCTCAAGGTACCTTGGAGATGACCTTAAAGCTATAGTGGATCCTGTTATCGAGAGAAATAGTTTCTTCGCCCATCCCGAACATCTGATGTTAACAATGACGCAAGACCCAAGAAATCACGTAAGGGAACTCGGCCTTCGCCGTATTATAAAGGCAAGAGAAAATGACGAAAAGAGAAAAACAGTTCGTACACACGTGGCACCAAGGCTTAACTTTTCTGCAACAGACTACACGGAGTTGATTGACTGGAGGACCTGCCAATTATCTTCCCCACATCTTCTAAAAGATGTTACTAATGACCAAATACAAGCCTACATCAAAACAGGAGAAGTTCCGAAG